TAACAATATTGAGTTAAAATATTCATTAAGAAACCAGGCTTCTTTTTTCTTCAGTTTTATACTGATTTTATAACTTTCCTAATATTAAAAGATAAAATTAGTCTTCATTTAGACCAAAAGTAAAATCAAATATAGGGAACACACTTCATTTTACAGCTGAAGAGAAATTTTTCTTTCATATCTAGTTGATGACTCAGAAGGTCATCATTATTCCAGGGTTACTCACTTCTGCTGAAATTCTCGCTTTTGGAATACCTGTATATCTAATGATATGACACACATACAAAACATGTCTTACACACAAAGTTGCCAGTGTAGGAGAATTAAGAGATTAAAAGGAAGTAAAACTACACTGTAATTCCACAGGGAAAAGTGGTCCCATTCAGGACAGGCCAAATGAATAGTAGGTGTAATATTAAGAAAGCTTGGTCCCTGGTTGGATAAACACAGAGCCTTTTGTAAGCCAATTAAGATCTAGTCAATTGCAAGTAAATTTTTTGGTCCTTATGCTCCTTCTGATCTTGTTCAATTTCAGAATTAACAGGAAAGAATAGTTACAAACCTAAAATACTCTTCCCCCTTTTTCCTGCCTTTTTTCTCTTTTGCCCTCCCATCTCACCTCTCTAGCTTAGCTACATCAGGAACACAACACACAAAATGGTGAGAGATAATTTGTTTGGTGTGCATACCTCTGTCTACTGACAGTGTATGAGCTATGCCAACACTGCAGAAACATGTAACACTATCTCATCTGCAAGTGAGATCTTCACAGCTGCGAGGGCACCCATTGCTCTGCACACCCTGCCATTTACAATTGGAGCCATCTTTTCTGTCATAGAAAAATGAACAGCTGTACAGCTCTGACAGTCAACTCTTTCAGTCTGTAGTCATCCAGAAATTTTGCTGTTTCTTTCCTGAGAGGCTAGTTAGGTGGCTAATCAGTTATCCATCAGTTTTGGTGTTGTATGGGTTTTCTTTGGTGGATGTTCAAGCACATTCCTGCATTGATATTATGAGTCACTTCTTGTTACTAACACCTAGAATTGCTCAAGCACAAAAAACTAAAAGCTAGCACTAATGCTCTAAAATTTCCACTTTGAAATTTTTTTACGGGGCAGCAATTTTATAGTCTGTTTCTAGTAGTCTTAATCCTTGAATACTATGCAATCAGAAGTGAGAAAATTACTTTTTCAGTCTATATGAAAAATACAATCCCTATTATTCAAAGACCTAGCAGGGGGTTGCCCCTAATATTAAAACTTGATAGGTATTGTAGCTTTTTGTTTGATTAGAGAACACAATGATTTTTACAATTACATATGTGTAAACCAATAAAGCTACCCATTTGGGGGCCAAGGAGGGAAAAACTTTCTGAATGTCTCACTTCCATGCACTATAAGCAATAATGTAAGGAGAAAGATACAGAAATCCCCTATGCAGACTGAAATACAGTAAGATTGAATGTTGTATGGTCTTCTACACAGTATAATGCATGTGATTTGAGGAACAGGTACCCTACAATCACATGCATTTTGTATTATGAGGAAACACAGAGGGGAAAAAAAAGCATAAATCTTACCTCTTATTAACAGTGATTTATTTTGATTTACACTCACTAAAAATTATGTAATTAATATGGAGCAACTTCTAAAGCAGGCTCATGGTGTGGAGATACACAGACCTACCAGTAACATCAGACGACAAGACTGCATTTCAGACTCATCATTTTAATGAAACACAGCTGTGTACCTGCACTTAGGGAGAAAACACTGGATACCTAAACAGCTAAGAAATTTCTGAACTAAAAATATTTCAAGATCTCCAACAGTGAATATCTTTTTAGCAGGACACTTTGAAGCTGAATATTCATCTCTAGCTGAAAGCATATCTGATGGTCCAAAGCATGCTAAGTCTCTGACCCACCACTGTCCAGGCTGCAACAATTTTTTAAACTAGCTTAAAATATTGGCAAGAGCTCCCCTTACTGGTCTGCTTTCAAACTATCAGCTCTTCAGTCCTGAAAATCTTTTAAATGAAACAAAGGTGGATAAAACATTACTTATATTCCACATTTTGGGAAAAACAAAACAAAACAAAACAAAAAAAAAACCAACAACAAAAAAACCAACAACAAAAAAAACCCCAGGTCTACATCAAATTTATACCATATATCCTACTGTTTACATTTCTGATTAGCTGCTAGATAATGACTTAGTTTAGGAAGAAATTGTTCTTCCATCACTGTGAACTGCAACTTATTTTGAATCCTTGATTTTGTATAGGAGATACAGGCCTTGCCACAGTCTAAATTAAAGAACGAACACCCAATTCTAACAGACCAAGTAATGCACTCATTTCACAGTAAACACCATGAGTTTCAATGGGATCATTTGTGGGATAATCAAGGACTCATCGTGGAAATTTATATGAAATTTGGAGCTGCAAAAAAAATCTATTATGAAAGCATACGGTTTTCTTCAATGGTCTACTGTCTGATTTTAAGAGCAAAATATACCTCTCAAACTGCACTGGTTTATATGATTAAAGAGTGGTTAAGATACGTGTAGTGATATAGATATACATATATATATGTATACACATTTATATATGATTTTTAGTGCCCTACTTTTGTAATGTCAGCCTAGGGGCCTACTGAACTTTTATGGTGAAGAAGCCAACTAAGAAAGGTTAAATGTAAGTAATTTTTTATGACACCATGAAATACCATTATCTTTAATTTATGGTAAACAATCTTGTTTACCTCAGCTCACAGTAAACAATCCTGTTAATGCATAAAATACGTGTTCTCTGGATTGTTCTCACACACATAAGGTGGCCCTGCTGAGCTGAGAAAAAACTATAAAATCTGTTGTTATGTCACATTAGGAAAAAAAAAGAGGGAATCAAAGGATATGCTTTTGAATACACCCTATAAACCTGGAAAGACTGTAAAACAGGATTTCTTAATGTATAACACCACTTCGAAGAGGTTTAGTACAGCACATCAGACAACCATTTAGCTCTCACCACTAAGGAACAAAAAACAAAAATCAAAAATAACCCCAAGTCCCCCAATTATCATTGTTAAGTACATTAAACAAATAAACAAAACCACTATTATTCAAATGGATTCAGTTGCCTACCTTTTTTTGTGAAACACAGGCAGTTTAGCTACAGAATCAAATCCACTCAGTCTAGTTCTCTCAGGTAAAATGATAGAATTTCCTATAACATTCTCTATTTTTTTTTCAACAGCAATCTCTATTTACTTTCTAGAGGACACATCCATTCTCCCTAGTGATTGTTGGTTATTTCCTCCCTTACTATACTGTACAATTATTCTTTCTGGGCTACCTGTTGTACCAGAGAGAAGGAAGAGGGACGCATCATTACAACCCCTATCTATACTGACCAACCAGGGTCATACTCATTGTGCTGCCAACCCCCCTGCTAAAACAACCAGAATTAGCTTATCTCACAATTTATAATACTATTTAAATATGTGATGGCATTTAGACTTGTTTTTACACAACTTTCTTTGAAGGCCATTAATAAACAATTTTTAAAAATCTGACTTTTCAAACAAAAACCCAATGTCCAATAGTATATTCTTCAATAAAAATGAAATGTTATTGCTTTATTTCACTAGGAAGTAGCATTTTCAGTTTCCATCCCTCTTTTCCTACATAACATGCTGTTTATGTTATTCAAATTCTCTTACCTTGCTTTAGAGATCTGTCTCATCCTTCTATCAAATACAACTCTTTAGCTTCTGCATGTGTTAACAACAGAAGAATTTATGAGCATATTCAAGTTACAATAACTACACAAGAATAACTGTTTACATCACAAAATGCTAACAAGTGAACTTGCAATCTTATTTAGATCTATGTATAAATAAGTAGCAAGTAATAAATTAAGTTGAAGTAAGTGTCTTTTATGTAATTGTCCTACCATGCTCTTCTTTCAGTACCCCAAATACTTTCAACTCAAACTGAAAGCAAAAAGTGAGCAGTGAAAGCCCTTCAAGAGAAAATTTGGTGCTTTTACAAGCAGCAACAAGTTTGTCATACAAGCTATATTTTTGCTGCTCAAGCAGAACCTGAGAGCACTGTAGTTCTTCTATAGCTACTAGCAAAAAAGTGAACATAATAATTATGGATACAAACATTAAATTAAAATAAATTAATATTCCAAATTCAGTTAAAGCTGATTTTCTCACCCTATCAACTCCACTATCAAAGCATGGATATATTCCAACAGATCTCCTACAGCTTTTATTCTCAAGTGTTTCCAGCCTTTAAAAAATGTATATTTAATGCAGTGATTCATTCCAAGTTGTACTCACCAATATTTCACACCTGAATGAAAATCAGCACAAACGTTTAAAATCTGTAACTGTAAATGCTGATTATCTCAAAATGTATAGGTATTTTTAATAGTAGTATCTACTTTTCTCCCATCTGGGCAAGTATTTTTGTTGTTGTTAAAGCATGTAAGTGCTAGGACTAGATGCATTTAAAAACAATCAAACCCTTTCAGAGGTCCAAGTTTATTCAAATCGCAGAAACCCTTGCTTGGGTTTTTTTGTTTGTTTGCTTTTTAAAATCATACACATACTCAATTTCTAAAAGTTTCTGCATTGGATTTCCTTCACCATAGTACCTGATTCAAGACCCTCTTTTTCTCTAGGAACTACAGTGAACTCAGTTCCTTAGACTACATATGATGATACCAACTTACATCTTTACATCATTTGTTTATTCTTCCAGCACAGAATTGGTTATGCCTTCTTAGGGTACAGGAAGGAATAAAAGTATTGACAGGTTTAGAAGTTAGAAGTCCATTAACTTGTTTGCTCAAAAAAAACCAAATTGTGAGCAGAGAACATAAGATGCATGCCCAACTGTTTAGCTTATACAGTTTGGTTACTTTTAACCCTCTGTAAGCCATTTATTGTAAATTTAAGCTGAAATACAGGGAAGACAGCAGCAAAGCTGTACAGTTAACCAGAGAAAAAGACAAGAACTGCAAGAAGTTTATTACAGACTGAAAAGGAAAGTCACAATAGAAATGGAGCACTAGGCATGCGATATACAGAGAAGCTTAACATGTGGAATTCCAAACATGACTTCTCAAATGCTGTAGTTTGAAAAGAGTGATGGATGATTTACCTTTCAGCAGAATCTGGATGGAAAATAAACTAGGATTCCAAAGAAAGGAAACACACCCTTCTAAATAAATTGTATTAGGCTATAATGCCATGTTAAAACTACTGATTATTTCTCCATTAAATGACCCCCCAACAACCTTCCACAAAATAAATTATGAGGTCAGTGTTTGATCAGTCTCTCGAGATCAATCTCAAGAAAGAGATAAAAAACCATAAACCATTTATAAATAAGATTTAAACTTCTTATTTCAGGTAAAGACACGTGGCTGGTTCTTAATCTACATGACCAGGGAAGCACCCACTTGTGAAAGAAAGATTAAACAATTTAGACCCAAACTCATTGTTCTATACAGTCAGAGAAAAGGGAAGGTACCAGAAATGTCATGAAGTTAAATTTTGCAGGGCTATTTGCTCATCCCATGAACTCGAATATACACAATTCTACAAAACTTTCTCTGGACAGCTTTTTGATTAAAAACATCTAGTGAAATTTTCTCCTGAAGATTCCTCCTTCTGAGGAAAAAAACAATCTGAACAAAAAACAAGGATAAACCTACCAATTAATCTGCTGTCTACTGGACAAAAGAAAACAAGCAGTAGTGGGAGAGTCAGTAAAGAAAACTGTTCCTTATGAAAAGCCTTTCTCTTTACACTTCTTTTTCTCAAAGACAAAATGGTGGCATCTATCTATCTAAAAGTTAAGCCAGTGTCTGAGCTAAAGTTACAAATACAGAGTAAAAAAACCCAAATAACCAAACCATGACAATACAAAGCTTTTTGCTTTACAGCAAAAGGCAATATGGGAAAAATAACTAAGCTGAAAACATCCCCTCATAACCAAAAATCCAAGCCCAGCTTTCTTGATTGTTAGGTAGAGCTTGGGAGTCTGATCACATAACTTATTGTGACTACTGGCTTCAGTGAAAAAATACAAGCAATTATATCTATAGGACTGGTCTCTAATTTCTGTCACCCCTTTAGTTTATAATAGTCTAGGGCAATAGATCTTGTTGTCCCAATCCCTCCTTCCACTCCAAACTCCCACCACCTCTCCCCAAACTCAGAACAACTCGGAAAGCACAGCCTTGGTAAAAGTAGGTAAGTAGTATGGGGCATTTGTAACATGTTTTAACAAAAAACCCCCAACGCTCCCAACCTCAAACAACACCACAAAACAGACCAACTCTCATCCTGCTGTATAAAACCCATCCAGTTAAGAGCAGCATCTGACCATGCCTCCAATTTACAAATGTTCCATCAAGCACAGATCATACTTCAACTGACATTCTTTACTTTCTATCAGTCACACTATAATCAGATTCAATCACACACAGGAACACAACACATCCACAGAGGACCTCATACAGCATTCCAATACAGAAACACTACTCTATTTTTTGGGTCATATCTTGCAAGATAAAAACCTAAAGGAAAACCAGAGAGCATGCATCAAGAATTCTCAAGGGAACTCCTCAAGTGTATAATTTTAAGTCTTTTAATAAAGATACCACATTCTTTCAAAATGAGAAACAAAATCCAATTCTAGACTATTTTTTTCTATGAAAATGATGCATTTTCTATAGTAGCCACTTCTATGTAGGACTTACATGCCACAGTGTTATCTATTTAAAACAGTAACAACACAAACTATTGAAATTCACTGTTCCAAAACTTGCAGTAATCTCATTTCTCTGGTTTGTCTCACTTCTGAGTAATAGGAAACGAGTTCTGGTCCATTAACTCGCCCACTCTCTCCTGGAGGAAGTTGACCAACTCAGCTAACACAAAGACATGAGTTTCATCCAGGTCTTGTATGATGAACTTCTTTCCCAAAGCATTTGACTCATCCAAGTAGAGCAGAAACTGCTTCATTGCCGGGTCACTGTAGAGACAAATACACATCAGACTCTACCTCACAAGTTATAGTTACAAACAAAAGAAACACCATTCAGAGATATTCCTAAAGGGTTTAGGAAAACTAAAATTAATTTTCATAACTTAAATACACTCTGTGAAACTTTAGTAAAAGTTGATTCTTTCCAAGTGGTTTTGGTTACTATAGAGACAAAAATAAAATTGTAATAAAGTCGAATGAGTAGAACCAGCTGCTTGATTAGCAAGAAATTTCCGTTTGCTGCTGCTAAAGCAGATTCAAAAACTCCCAAACCAAAACTAAAACTCAAAAGTCCAACCCTTAATAAGGCAAGACTGAATTTACATTTCTGATTTCAGCAATAGCCTCATAAAAACAGGTTTCCTTAAAGCATAGGGATAACCAAAAGACAGGAGAACACAGATCTCACTCAAAGTAGTATAGCACAGACAAAGAGTGCTCATATAAGAATTGTATTATTTCTCACACTCCAACTGAACAGTCATGATATCACCTTCTAAATAAAATTTAAATTGTTTAGAAGAAAACATTTTGGAAGTATGGAACTACTTTTGTGCAGTTTTAGATTGCAAACATATTAGGAGACTTAAGTGTACAGCAGAAATCTTACACATCATGTAACGCTATATGACCCCACAAATCTTGAGTGATGCTTCCTTTAATTTTGGAGGTAGCCAGAGGCCTGAGTCTCAGTCCAAAGATGAGATTATATGAAAACAGGTACATTGCACCTACACCAAAAAGCTGACATTTACCAACTCCAAGCACATTCATTTCAAATATGATCTACAAACAGAACCACATGTTAGCCCTGCACCAAATTCAGCCTAGAGCTGATTAAATAAAAACAAAACAGGAATGAATAAATGAAAGATTACCTCGTCTCCCTCAAGAATCAGTAAAGAAACACTTGATTCACAAACAACAGCAAGAAACTGCTCGCAAGCAATACAAAGAACAAGAGGGAGCATCTAATATTTGCAAGGAAAAATTGCCAAGGTAACTGGATTGCTCATACTAGGGTTAAGTTGTACCTGACAAGCATATAGATAACTTACATATACAGCTAAAAGTTTAACTTGTAAACCTTTCAAAAGACGTGACAATATTAGGGGAGCATTAGACATGGTAGAATATAGCTTTGAAGCATAATTTCTCATAGTGAATGCTAATTTTAAGTATTTTACATCCTTTTCTCTATTTTGCTAAATTAAAATAATAACCTGGATTTTTACAACTATGTGATTTCTAACTTTTTCACCATCATATTTTTACTCCATATTCATATGCAGTTTTTTCTTTAAGGAGGTTAGGCATAAGTGGAAAACAATCTCTTGAACAGAAAAATGGGCCTTTGGCATTATGACTATCCACAATTGCCTTCTTTTTCTTCCCCAAAGGCCGCACTTTTCTCTGCTTGTTCAGCACCACCCTTCCCCACAATACCTCCTTTTGTCTGGACTCTTCAGTTACTTAAGATTAGTTCCAGGTCTAAAGAAACACAGTCTTTGACACGAGGAGAGGCAGTAAATGCTGCTACTCACCACTCAACCAGAACACCTTTCAGAACATTCACCATCTTCTCAGCTCTTATGAACGCTGAAGAGTCGGCAAGAGCAACCCCTGTTTTGGATCACACTGTGAAAAAAAGAGTTCACTCTTTAGAATTCTTAGAATTTTAATAAAGGATAAAAGAAAGACAAATTTCCAGAGCATGGAGATAGCCTAAAACCTCTGTTCTCTCTATAGTTACATTGCTGGGGTTACCTGTGAATTCAACAGTTTATACATTATTCAAACATGCTTTTGAGATTTTGACGTTTCTCTTGTTTGGTTTTAACCTCTGACTTGTCTGCAGGACATTCTGTAGATCAGATCCATATATTTTATTTCTTCCCGTAGCTCTATCTTGTTGTTTCACACTTCCTGATAGCAAAGAATCAATAAATCCTTCCTGAATGCTTATGCTCTGTTTTCTGTCACTGTTATCACTTGGAGAGGCCAGTCCACAGATGTAAGAAATAAAATAATTGTTTTACACGATTCTGTGAGTCAGCTACATTGAAGCATTTTAATCTATTTTAACAGTTTGCTAAAAGTTATGATATAATATATTTATCACGCTATTCACATTCATATGAACTATACAGTGCACACATAAGCTGACAGGTCATATTATAGAAAAGCAGTTAAAAGTAAATATAAATTGTACCGTATCAAAATACTTGCGATGCAAAAAGCGAAATAAATGCGAAAGTCAGTATTACATTATCATCTACAACAGCACTGGCGATCACGGGAAATGTGGAAGCACAACACGCCCCACACACCCCCAACACGCAAATCCAAACAAATAACGCCTCGGTTTTACGCAAAGACTCTTTACGACAATTCTACTCCCCAGCGGAGTTGCTGGCCCGTCCTGGCCTTCACCTCCTCCTTGCTCAGAGGGGTTCCCAGGGGCCCCGGTGCGGTCCCTCACCTCCGCCGCGCACGGACCGCTCCCGCTCCCTCCCCTCCGCCCTCGTCCCGCGCCGCCTCCCCGCCGGCGGAAGTGCCCCGCCCGCGCACGCGCAGGCCGGCCCCGGCAGCCGCCGCGGATTGGCGGGGCGGGCGGCGGCGCGCTGACGTCACGCGGCGCGCGGGGCCGCGCGGGGAGCGCGGCGCAGGCGGAAGGTGGGAGCGGCGGCCCGGGCCGGGGGCGCGGGAAGGCGCTGGGCGGGCGGGATGGGGCTCGGGGCGCGCTGTTCCTCCCCGTTGGAAAGAGGCACGGAGCCACCCCAGCCTGCCTCCTTGCTCGTCTACGTGTTGCATTGTTTAAAGTTGTGTTTGCGGTACTGTTTTTATCTTTTTTTTTATTATTTTTTTAATACGCCCCAGATGCGCAGTCGCGCGGCGGGCGGGTGGGGACCGCACCCCGGTGCGGGACGGGGCTCGGAGCTGCCTGGGCCAGCTGTGGAACGGTGCGAAATGGGTCCTTCTGCATTATACTTGCATGTGGCTAAGCACGAGAAGCCCAGCGTGAGGCGGCAGTGCGCGCTCCAGCCCCAGAGCAGCCGGCTGGAGCTGGCGGCGGGCCCGGGGCGGCGGTTCTGCCCCTCCTCCGCTCTGCTGACACCTCACCTGGGCTCCCCAGCATCACAAGGACGTGGGGCCGCTAGGCAAGTCCAGAGAAGGGCCACGAGGTTGGTAACAGGGCTGGAGCACTTCCCCTGTGACAGCAGAGCGAGGAAGTTGTGGCAGGTCAGCCTAGAGAAGAGGAGGTTGCGTGGAGACCCCACGGCCACATTCCAGTGTCTGAGGGTCCTGCAGGGAAGTCAGAGAGGCACACTTAATCGGGAGCTGTAGTGTAGGACAAGGAATAATGGGTGCAAGCGAAAAGGGGAGACATTTAGATTAGATATTTTAAAAGAAATTCTTAACTGTGCAGGTCATGAGACACTGGAACAGATTTCTCAGGAAGGTTGTGGATGCCCCAGCCTTGGAAGTGTTCAAGGCCAGGCTGGAAAAGGCTGTGAAAAACAAGGTCTGGTCGGAGGTTCCCCTGCCCATGGCAGGGGTGTAGGGATTAGGTGATCTTTAAGGTCCATGCCAGACCCTTAACATTTGATGATTTGATGCTTGCCCTCGGACCTGAACAGGAGCTCCTGGCAACGGAGGAGCCTGCTGTGTTTGCAGGTGCATGTTCTAAATTTTAGTAGTTGTGGCACCTGCTGTCACTGAACCACATGTTTATTTCAGATTGTGGTTAGAGAGTAAATGTGAGTACTGTGATTCTATGAACCAAGGAACTGTCATGAGACAGGGAGTTTGGAGGTGGGAGATTTGTCTCTAGAGGACTGATGATCAAAATCTTAAAAGTGTTTCACAATTGAAGTGAATGGATAAACGAGGTTGAAATGACAGAAGTCAAAAAGCAGTCTGCCGTGATTTTGGCAGTGCTGGGGTAATGCTGATGTTTTTCAAAAATCTCCCAAACACAAGCAAGAGAAAAGGGAAAAACAAAACTTTCTGGGAAACAAGAAAAGAGGGAAGACATGTTAAAAAGAGTCCTTTGTTCAGAGATGTTGGACACTGATGATAAAACTGATATAAACACTTTTCTTGGTCTGCTGAGATTACCTTGAACTCAAGGAGACTATCAGGCTTCCATATTTCAACATCAGGTTTACACATGTGACATTTTATCATTTTGAGTTAATTGTGATTGTGGTACCAGAAACCTAATTTGATTCGTATTTGAGAAATACTGGTGCGTTTTAACATCTCTATAAACACATTAACACAATATTTCAGTTAGTATAATTGCACCAATGCAGACACTAAAATTTCACTTAGAAGATAGGAGTTTCATGTTACTTCTGCACTGTATGCAAAAAGTGTTTGTTTTTATGTAGTAGTTCTTTAAGTCTTGTTAGTCAAAATAAAAGACTTACTTGCCAACACAATAAATGATGAACTTTTAAATGGGGTTGGTTACTGAGTTGTATTAAAGCCCATGTCATGCTGAGAAATGTCTTGATGGAGATAGGACCGTATCTGGTATTTACGGAAGAGTGACTAAAAAGTAGGAAAGGAAACATAGAAGCTGAGAAGTTAATTGGACATACTAAAATCAAGAGTAACATAATTGACAAAAAAAACTGTTTTAAGCTTTTATTATAACCTAAATTCAGCCCCTAAATTGAGAATTCAGCCCATAAATTGAGAAATTTGTAGAGTTCTTTAGTCCGAGTGCTTTATATGGAGCAAAATGACACAAACATGGTTTATTGTGACCTTTGCTGTAAAAAGACAAGAAAAAATGCTACAGAATTTCTGCTGTAATTCTCAAATTTATAATTACTGTTTTTTTCCCCAATATGCAGAATGTCAGTGGCTGCTTACTGTGTATTTTGCTACAGAAAAATAGGAACTTCTGGTCCAGCCACAAAAAAGCATCTACCCTGGAATGATATCAGTAAGTACAGTTCATTATGTATTGATCTGAGGTGTTAATAAAAAGGAATAACATGACACTGTGCATAATTCAATGATACTGAAGGTTTAAACCCTTGAATGCTTAGTGATTAAAAGCTTCTGTTTGTCCCTGCTCTCTGCTTCTGACCTTGCTTTGCATAGTGATCTGTAATATGACACCAGCAGATTATCTGGGAGCAGATACAAACACTTGATGAGGGTCTTTCCCTAACTAAATGTGATCTCCTTAAACTATCTTTAATTCCACTTGTATCTGATTTTTTTTTTTTTTTCTGGTAATCTCTAGAGCCATGAAATAGTTACATTCATAAACATTGAATAAAGCTTGTTTTTATTATTTCTTTTTCCTTATTTACTTCAAGCCCTGCTTAGTCTCCGTTTCCTTTGGTGTCTTCAGCATATAATGACAATTCTTGCAATTCTGAAATTTATTTCTGAGCATTAAAGATAGGATATTTCAATTTCTGCTCTCCAGGAAGCATTGCATTTGTTTTTTCTTTTTCAAACTTCTCTGCCAGTTATGTCATCAACATGTAGCTGCTGCCTCTTGTTTGCATACAAAATTCTTATGGCCTCACAGATAGGGAAGCTGGTAGCAGTGGTTGTGGGGCAAATCTCGCAATTCATGCTGAGGAAAAGAAATTGTTAATGATAAGTGAGATGTGTTACATTGGGTTTGCTGCTGCCTGGTAATGATAAGAGTTTATCTGTATAGAGATCCTTATATCCAGATAATCAGATCAACTTTGTAGATACAAAGTAGCTGAAATCTGGAAGGAATAATTTTGTTTAAATGGCAAATTCTTGCAAGTAGCATGTGTTTATTATCTGTTTGCTTTACACATTAGATTAAATTGAATTTTTTTTTAAATGTATTTGCTTATGGACTTTGCAGGACTTCTCAAAAACCATACATAGTCCTGTATGTAATAATATATAAATTGAAGAAATAGCTGCAACCTCTAAGAAAAAGTTAACTCTTTAAAATTATTTCAAGTTCTAAATTACTGCTAGTGTTACAGGCAGAGAAAGTTTGCTGTTGATTCTGGTAGCTGAGCAGTGTATGCAATTGAGAGGTAGCAATATTCAAAGTAAATAGAACTGACAGGATACATGTTCTATCATCTTGCTCAGGAGAGCAGGAAATCTGAATCAAATAATGTTTTCTCCACTTGTAAATTTTGGTTAATAATTTCTTGAAAGCTAGAGTGCAATAGAATTTTTTTTTAAAGCTTGTTCTTAATATTTGGTACTCTTATTGTCTGATAATCAAATGGTAGCTGTGTTTATATTGAGGTGATGCATCCAACTTTGACATTTGGTTTTGATTTTTTCAAGGAAAAATTGCAAAGGTAACTGGATCACTTATACTAGGGTAAGTTGTAACTAATGAGTATATATGTAACTTATGGGTAGAGTTAAAATTTTAATATGTGTATCTGTCCAAAATAATGATAATACTAGATGATGTTAGACATGGTAGAATATAGTCTTGAAGCACAGTTTCTGATAGTTATAACTTATTTCAAGTATTTTATAGCCTTTCTCTACTTTGCTAAATCAAAATAATCTACAAACTTATGTATTTTGTAAAATATCTATCATTTATGCCAATGTGACTGCTATTTTTTATTGTATTGTTTTTGTTGATATTCATATGCAGTTTTTTTTTCTTTAAAGAGGCTTTGTATTCATTACATATGAAGTCCTGTCCTTAAATAAGTTACTGCAAATTGATACTCAAGCTCTACATCAAGAAAAACTTAAATCCTATGTATACGTACGTACAGCTTCTCTAAGTCCAAGTGAATATCAAGGTAAGATGCATAATTGAGTTCTGAAAACAGAATTCTAAGAGAATAGAATGTTTCTGGAAGTCACCCTTATATAACAAGTAAAGTTGTATTTCCTGAAGTCTGTTACCAAGAAATATTACCAAATTTAAGCAGATGACTGGTTTGTTGTTTTGTTTTGGGTTTTTTTAAGGTAGTTCTTTCTATACGTAGTTCTCTATATATCAGATAATTCTCTTTATATAATGTCTATATATATGTGGGTGTATTTAATTTTCCATATTTTTATGAAAAGTGAGGTGAGGGAACTGTCTTTCAGACTTCCAGTAATATAAAAATACTCTTCTAGGGATTACATACAAAGCCAGAAAAGAAATCCATAAAGCAGTGAGGAGAATTCTAGAAACAGAAGCTAAAATCTTCCGGAGACCTTTTAATGGTAGGTATTGAAAGCAGAACTTTATGATTATTGGTTTTTAACAGTAAGAAGTAGGGCAATTAGGAAGTCAAACATTTTTTCTTACAAAGTTAGCATGTTCTTTTGTTCTTGAAACAGTGATAATATAGCTTATAATTTCTTTATTTATATGGATTATCAATCGATTGTCTATTTTCTGTGTATTAAAACAATTTATTTTCTTAAAGTAAATGAAAGTGATGGTTAAGAGAAGATTTGAGGGTTGGTTTTTTCCTTATTCCAGAAGAAATTTAAAAGCTAAAGTACCAAGTTAATATTTGATATAATTTTTGTGTAAAAAAGGTGTTTGTGGGTTGAAATACTCTAAGTCTCATTTTAGAAAAGTATGTATGCTTTCATCAAAACTGACATTATTAACTGAAAGCAGTAGTTTTTATTATCAGTGTTGCTGCTTTTTCAAGTAATTTGAAACAAGAATTTCCATTTGTATCAGAAACTGTGCTCTTGAGGCATACTGCCTATTTAACTCTCTATGAAATTATTATAGCAATGTGCATCTCCACTGTCATCTTATGAAATTAATTCTTGAAAGTCAGAGCCTCAAGAGTTGCTAATAATTTGCAGCTCCTGATTGTAATTCTGATTGATCAGTGCCAGCCAGGGGTTATGTGTGTCACATAGATAGTTGAAATATCAACTTCGTGCCACTAAAATGAGACAGACTCACAATTTTAGGATCAGCATTTTACTGATGTCATTCTGTCCTTGTTCATTGTACTAATTTAAGTTTAAAATGTTACTGTAAAATTACTGTGAACAAGTAATATTCAAATATTAAAAAACCTACATATTTCCTTACTCCACAAAGAGAAACGTGGCTGGTTAAAATGCTCATTAAGAATAATGGATTTACTTGGATTTAATTTGTTTCCTGGTCAAAGAACAATTCAGTACCTTTGATGGAGAAGATCATGAGTGTGCCTTATGGCTTCTCTTAAAGAGAAGTCAGTCAGAAGACAAAGCAATCCGACTGCAGGCTGTACAAGACCTGGCAAGCAACAGTCACTGGCATGGTAATGTATGCTGATGTAGCCTAATTTGTCCCAGAAATTCCACAGTCTCAGTTAGCCGTTCCAAGTCTGCTCATAACATGAAGAAAAGCTAGTAGCTGCAAGAAGCATCAGGTTTAAAAAAAAGATTGTTTCCCTCTGAATATGAATATGCTCTGAAATTTGGTTGAAAAGGTAGGGGAATTATTTGCATTTCAAGTAGCTGTTCTTTCCTAATGTTTTTCCCTGACACAGTGTGAGTGTCTGCAGTGCAGGCCTCTCTGTTTCCCCACCAGAGAATTATAACCATTACTTTGCTGTGGAGAGTAGTTCATGGTCTTTAGTTCCATAGGTTTTCTGTTGGGATTGCTAATGCAGTCACAAGTTTTGGCAGTGATTTTTTTTATAGGCCTCTGTAGGAGTGAGTTTAAGGTAGTTAAGTTAATAAAAATTGTTTAGGAGCTGATAGGTAGTAATGACAAACCAGAGGTAGACGGCTTGTACATGCAAGCATTATCTGTAAGCCATTTTTGTCCTAGTTATTATTTAATAGTAGTAAGTTCTCCCTCTTGCTTTAGGAACACGTATCCTTGAAATCCCAAGTAAAGGGGGTGTATATGTGTATTTGTGTTTCCTCCTCTCCCCTCCACCAGGCTACATAAACTAGGTGACATTCTGTTCTGGACTCCCATTTTGGTAATTTTAGTCAGTTGTGGATCTTTCACTTTTCCAGCTCAATTCCACACCATAGGATTTATCTTGTTTCAAATTGCCTTTTTAGAATTCTAAATAATTTCCACAGAGAATTTACACCAGCAAACTCTTTGAAAATGTTTGAAAGCTAGGATGTACCAAAACTGAGCTTTGTCCTTTGTAGATGAATACTGTTAGCAGGTGATTTCAGAGCACAAGATGTCCAGTATCAGAAATTTAGTTGTCTTTTGTTATCTCCATTTCTCTGTAGTGCTCATTGTTGTAGTCATTTGAACATTTGGACATTTCACAAACAATTATTCTTGCCAACTGTCTCATGAGGGAAACAGTCTTTTTTTAAACCTGATGCTTCAAAACCAAGTCAAGAAAGTTTAGGACTGAAAGTATGTGCCAATTTTTCACAACTAGGACAAAGTGTTCAGCTAGGACCAAAGTGTTCAGCTCCAATGAGTTCAGTTTGCAGGTATAAATTACCTCCACCAAAGGAATAGTGTTGCCAATTTACGACTGTGAAAAGTATCTTAAATGGCTTGTCAGTTTTGTTCTGGAATTGTATAACAGTAACAGGAATATAAGCAAATTTTTGTAGAAAAAAGTGTTGATCCACCTCAAGGTTTTATTTTCTTTTCCTTTAGTTTGCCATTGAATTACCAAACTGGCCTATAATGAACAGTTAGTACCCAGGTGTATTTTGGCTCAGTGTCGTACTGGTCTAACATCTGTAGTTTTTAACTTTTAGAATTTGTGGTTAGAGAATCAAAGGGTTTTTCTAGGTAGACTGCAGAGAGATGGTTCTGCTTGTCAAGTATATTTACAAAGTAGATCGCAAACTACATTTAAAACAAAATTAAGTATTTAAGGTTAGTTTTAACTCTAACACTGAAATTCTTGTACAACAGATTATCAGTATGTCACAGTTGCTCAAACCTGTGATCAAAGGACTGCTATAGGTTTGGCTCGATCCAAAGATGTTGACCTTCGCTTTTTCTTGCCTCCACCACCATTGCCAAAAATAAAGACTGTAAGTACAGGAAAAGTAGGTATTAGATGATTCTTAGTTGCTTACTTCTCTCTTACTACTTTTGTTGTTAACTTTTGTTGAAAGTGAAGTTCTTCTAAAGTAACTGACTAGTAGTAAAATATCAAAATACAGAACTGTAATATGTGGTACACCATTGGGGTATATCTGCATTAGGGAGTGGCATAATGGAAAGAAATAAGGTTGGAAGTATTGATCAATTATTATTCTTGGACTGTATATCCACGTGACATATTTACAAGCAGTGAAGTCTGAGCCAGTTACCAGTCTGACAGACACATTGCTTGTCTCTATCCAGTAGGTAATGTGAAGAAATCATCCTGGATTGCCTTGTTGACACTGAAAGGATCCTACACACAGCGTGTGCTCCTGGAGGCTTGGCCTCCTCAGTAGTACTGTGGTACTCTGCTTCAGGCTCACTTCTTCACTGCCAGCTTTTGGGTGCCAGCAGATCCTCATTGGATAAATTTGGCCTTGCTTTATTTTTAAATTAATTTCAAACTAAACGCATTTTAAATGTGTGTGTATATGTTATATGTATGATAGTCTGAGGAGTCATGTCATCAGCTTCAATAAAGAGAACTGGCATATGAAGTATAATATTCAAGATGTTTTGGAATGCTAATAGAATGAAAGGGGGCAAAAGGCCCTGTCAGAAAATACCTGTGTATCTTAACCAACAGAACTCTGAATATCACCTTTGATTGGCTGTGATATTCTCCATTTTTGCTTCCTTGCCTTTGTAACATTATGTATAGTGGATCTGTACCTGTCAGTCCTTAAATACTAGGTTACACCAGTATATGGTTGTGGATATATTTTTACAGCAATGTGATTGCTAGGTGATTAAAGCTAAGAGTTGCTGCTTAGGAAGTTGAAGCAAGTCATTGTCGCAACTCTAGGCAAATAAGTCTCCATCTCTGATTTTATCAAAGAATTAGAATTAACAGCAAATTCAATGATGGTGGGCAAAGAAAATTACTTTGTTGAATCTAACAATCAATATATGGATTATTAAATGAACACTTCCATCAATTTTTCAGACCAAACATTAAAAAAAGGTCTTTATTTTTTGCTAGTAATTGATGCATTCATTTTAATGGAGCAGCACCAAAAGCACAGCATCACCAGTTGGTGGATGAGGAAGGTGATTGTCCCACTGTGCTCTGCACTGGTGTGGCCTCACCTTGAGCACTGTGTGCAGTTTTGAGCACTACAGTATAAAAAATATACTAGATTATTAGAGAGTGTCCAAAGAAGGGCAACAAAGACGGTAGAGTGCCATGAGGGGAAACCACATGAGGAGTGGCTGAGATCACTTGTCTGTTCAGCCTGGAGGAGACTGAGGGGAGACCATTGCAGCCGCAACTTCCTCATGAGAGGAAGCTGAGATGCAGACACTGATCTCTTCACTCTGACGGCCAGTGACGGACCTGAGGGAATGGCCTGAAGCTCTGTCAGGGGAAGTTTAGTTTGGATATCAGGAAAAGTTTTTTCACCCAGAGGGTGGTTGAGCACTGGAGCAGGCTCCCCAGGGTTCTGGCCCCAAGCCTGACAGAATTCAAGCAGCTTTTGGACAATGCTCTCAGGCAAATGGTGTGATTCTTGGGGTGGTCTTGTGCAGGACCAGGAGTTGGACTTCTCTGGTCCTTGTGGGTCACTTGCAATTCTGAGTATTTTATGATTCTATGAAAATGTCTGTGTAGTTAAGAGTGAACTTTTAAGTTTCTTCTGTCAAGAGGAACTGGTTTTTCTTCTGCTCTTTGGAACCATTAGAATAATGTCACCAAAATATGAAGTGTAAAGCTTGCTTTTTATCAGTTATTTGGTGGTTTTGTAATTACCAGTTTCCAAAGTCTTTACAGATAAAACTATTAAACTGAAGTTGCAGAGCACTTGAGTCCAAGGTTCATATTTTATGTCCTCACTAGTATGGCTGATTCCATTATTTCAAATGTTTCTCTTCTGCATTTTGTTTCGTGCTTTGAACAAAATAGCCTAAAAGCTGTTTGTGCTTACTTCTCACAGGACTATTCCATAGAAGATGAACTTCGCTTGTTATTGGTATCTTTACCTCAGACTGGTCTTGATCCATGTGTCCAGTACTTCACATCCCTTGCATTAAGTGAAAGTAGCCACACTCTTGCTGCACAAATGGTGAGTTTCCATCTGCAGAACATAACTGTTTGGGTTCTTTGTTCCTGCAGAGCTCAAAGATACAAATCTTTTTCCATATTTTTTATCACTGTAAGAGGAAGAGAAATACAGACACTTAGTGATTGTAGAACATGAGCAAAATCTTGTGCAAATACAGTCTGTCTGCTTGAAAGCTTGTTTATATTTTCCAGCTGTGCTACTTGAAAGGTGTAGCTAAAGTATCTTACAAGCTTTCCCATTAAGCAGGTATTACAACACTCCATCCAAAACGTTCCTTCCCCTTGTAGTGCTCATAAAATTACTTTTCACATTTCATCTTACTGTTGTTTGAATGTTCTTTTACTGATGAGATTATTAAATCTCTCATAAGTCTCTAGAAAAAAGGTAGGTTGTTAGCACACCTTAAGTAGTAAACCCTGTTACATCACATGGAAGTGCCTCTTTGAAATAGAAACTCTTTTACCAGACCAGAATTGTAGTAGTCTATGGTCTGTTTGGACCTGGATCAAGGAATTCTCCAACTGTGTTTGTGCAACAATTTCCTAAGTGGCTTTAGGAATGTCATTTAAAGAGGCATTAAATAATTAAAAATAATACTTATGTCAGTTTCATCCACTCTCACTTGTGAATTTTCCTTTTTGTTGTTTAAAAGTTCTGAGTTCCTTAATCAGTGAATGTTATTTTTTATAAGATGCAATAACAAAAATGAATGTCATTTTAATAACAATGCTTGTTAGTCTTCATTTAGAGTTTCCAGAGTGCAATTATTCTTTATTTTCTATGACAGAGTTATGTGTGCTATTTTTACACTATCACTCCTTTACTGTTTTCACAGCCAGAGCTCGTGCTACAAAGGGAGCTTTGGTAAGACACCACACTTGGAAGTACTTTGATTTTTATTGAGGTTATGTTGGTCTTTCTGCTGTGTGATTGGGAGACTGGTCTTCTGAGGCTGTGCCACATATTGAAGACCTTTCTTCTTCCTCTTCTAAGTTTTGCAAGTCTAGAGTTACGCTGATTCTTGCTTTTTTATGCTTAAGCAAATGATCTTAAAAGATGACATTCATTAACAAAATGAAAATACTACATTTTCCCCCCTTTACTGTATGTTTTGGAGTTAATAGACTAAGGAGACTACACACTGAAAATCTAGTTAATATTTCCAGTTAAAAATAGTAAATACTTTTATGATGTACTGTTGTGTAATTTGTACGTTTTGAGAAGTACATACATGCTGTGCACTCTTCAAAGCAATTTCTATAGATCATTACACACTTAACATTCTAAATTAGAAATCTTTTTTTTATGTAGCCATTTGAAATGTGCTACTATTTTTATGGTTTTTCATTTCAGGGAGGCTTATGGTGTTTTGGAGGAAATGGACTTCCATATTGTGAGACATTGAGTAAAATCCCTTCAGAGACAGTGGAACTCTTTTGCTTGCAGGCTTTGGTACAGCATTCTAAGGTAATTTGTCTTTAAACTGTAACTGAAAAGCTACATTTATAGACATTCCTCTCTGATGCACTCTTATGTATTGGGAAGGAGTTGCCATTTCCCTGTGTCCTACCCCTTTCCTCTTCTGTGAGAATGTTTAAACAACTGAGATGGGTGTGAAATGAACACATTCCTGGAACAAAGTAGGGTTTTTTTCCTCATGAGGAAGAGTATTTTAAGTTTTGTTGTTGCTTCTAATTCACCCTTACAAGTTCCCCTGTACTATACCTGTATTTATCTGAAGAAGTAAAAGGGCAGCTCTGAGGCTCTAATACCAGGTTTTCATGAAGCAAGATAGTGTAATGAATTCACTCTATCAGAAACCAGAACAGAATGCAAACTTTGCCCATACACAAAGGTATTCTTTAGGCAGAATATTGTACAGCAAGCAGCTAATACAGTGGCCTTCCCGGGACCAGTCTTTTTGCAGACACAGATGAAGAGTATGGAAGACATTTTGTAACAATGATGCTTTATGTTTCCTATTGCTATTCAGAAGCCTAGAAGAACGCCAAATGGGTACTGATAGTTGGGATGGATAAAGTGCAGCTTCCTGGTAATCTTTTCACATCTTCCATATACACAGATATTCTGACTTATTCTGGAATTTGTTATATTCTAGATTTTCAGTTTAAGCAAGTTGTTACTGTACTCATTCCAAACAGATGTTGAAAGCCACAGGCTTGAGCATATCAGCAGTTCCAAAGCTACCCTGCATATTCATCTGGACTAAATTGTTGCCCTTAGGATCAGTAATGATAACAGTACTATTTGGAATGTAAAAATACTTTTTCATTTTGAAGAGAAGGAATTATAACAATTGTATTTTGGGTGATGGACAAGTGGCTCTGGTTTAGATAGTGCTTTAGCAAATGCAGACAATAGACCTGTTCACACTCTTGAACTTGAGTTGAAGTTTGATCATGCCAAGTGGAGACCATTTCATCTCTCTCAGACATGAAGGAGGCTAGAGAGGTGATACTCAGCGATTTTCAAGTTGTCAATTCATAGGAATTACACATTTTGCATATTAAAACATTATTTCCTCTTCAAATATAGCATAATAAATTCTAGATTAATATAATTTCTATGCAACCAGGGCTGTGTTATACCTGCTTCTTAAAACTCCTTAATTTATGAATTAACAGCGTCTAAAAAACCTTTTGCAGAACATCTATTTATTGTCACTGTAATTTAATTTGTAATGCCAGATTCCTTCTCACTGTGAAAAAATTGAAGCTAAAGGAGGCCTCCAGCTGCTGCAGAGGATATACCAGCTACGTAAAGATTCAGCAAAGATACAGAGGAACATAATCCGCATTATTGGGAATATGGCTTTGGATGAACGTCTTCACTCATCCATAGTACGTGCAGGTAAACAGAAAGCTGTCTGTGGTAGATATCCACTCCAAAAGTTTCAGATAGATAAAATAAATGAGTAGAAAATGTCAATATATAGTTCTATAAATCCAAGCTGCTGTTAAATACATTGTGCATTTTTACACAAAGGAGAAGTAGCAAAGGCACAAGAAGAGAAGGTGAAGGTGATTAAAAATTTGCAATGGCTGTGATATGAAGGAGAAATAACTAGACTAAGACACTTAGCATGGAAAAAGCAACTGAAGGAGAATATGATGAAGATTTATTAAATTATCTTCGCTGGCATAGAGGAGGCAAAGAGGGAATGGTCATCTGCTGTTTGTTGTAATGCAAAACCAAAGGTTCTTGTACATTAAATTATAAAGAGAGAAAAAATAAATAGTATTTTCCATATATTGCATGACCAAAATAAAACTTGCCACAAAACATTATAGTAGTTGAAGACTCACAAAGCTTCAAAGAGTGGCGCGACACATTCATGAAATGAAAAATCCATAAAGTTCTACAAATGGAAACAAAGTTGTCTGCAGAAAATCCAAGTGTATAGTCTAGAATCAGAACTGTGTAATTGTCCTTTTATTACTCTATTCTTGTACTGGTCTGCAGCTTCCATGCTACTCACTTCTGAAGAAAGGCAGCTGGACATAAAGGCCTTTGTCCTGGGCTCTGGCACCATTCTTAAATTCTAATGATTGTTGAAACCATGCATGTAGAAGGAGATTGAAACAGGAGAGTCAGCAGCTCCCTGGGACAGAGCTCTCAGTACAAAAGGAATTTCAGACAGTGAATCAAACTCCAGAGATGAGCAGTCAGATACTGCTAGTCCAGAGTTGATAAAGCTCATCTTTTATTGCTGGATGATGCATAAGAAGAAGGAACTTCTAAGGCTCTTTTTCTTGCAAAAACGGCTGGCACAAGAAGAAGAAAAACAGTAATGCACTGTGTAGTAGCTGTGGTAGAGTCTCTGGGGGCAGAACACTTATTTTGATTCTGAACAGTTATTTTTGACTCTTCATCTTGACTCATTTAAGAGAAATGCAAAACCAGAGACCAAGGTAGTTTTAGTCAGACTATCATGGCAGTCTTCCATTGTGTTTGGAGAACTGAAAGTAGACTTTAGATAGTATTCTTCTTAAGTACAGCTTTCACAATGGTCAGCATATATTCTGCTTAGAAACATAATTTAAATACATTATTCTTAAATAAAGATTACAGTCCTCAAAGGTCCTAGTAGTTTTGTTATTTAAGGCAAAACTTGAATGTCAGTTTTTTCTTTTCTTCGGTCTATAGTAAATGATTTTGAATTAGCAGCTTACTGACTGTACTAGTTGCAACGTAATGTACATGGTTTTGAGACAATGCTCATGAAGTAAATTCCCAGGTTTTATTTATGGACTTGACTGTAATGTAACTGTGATTTATAGGCCATTTGTGCTAGCAACAAGATTTATCAGGATTTTAAAGAACCATGTGCATATGCACATAAAAGATATTCCTTTGCAATTCTCAGTAGTCTATGACAATTCCTTTCCATGTTTGAGAAAATTTTGCACTTTAGGTAGAATACCATAAAGTGTTTGTAAGTCATAGTATCTTTGACTTAAAATTTTATTGAGGATTGTATCCAATTTAATTGTCTTATGTATAAATAGTATACAAATTTTAGAATGGCAAAAATATTTTAATCACATTAAGAGTTTTTATTATACTGGATTTTAAAATTAGAAATTATTGTACTTTCACAGCAAGAATCATTTTTTTTACTTTCTATTGCTCCTGTAGGTTGTTTTCTATACCTTTCTTATTCTTTAAGCTTCATTGTCTCCATCTTCCTGGCATTTTACCTGCAAAAAGAAATCTGAGATCTGTTCTTGCTACAGCTGTACTGACCTGCTGATATTCTTTCTTCTGAGAAGGGGTTCTCCCTCAGATCATAAGATGAACCTTAGTAAAATACATCTGAATTTTTGAATTTAGGAGATTCCACTTAGCTAGCCTTGACTTTCCTGAGGTAAAGAGTAGATTGAAGTAATTTATTTTGATGTTGTCATTCTTAAGTTTTAACATCTATTTTCAGATGTATGGTTTGATGGTTGATGTTTCTGAATTCTGTTGTTCAGATGATGTTTCTATTAGTTGACTTGCCTCTTTTCTCAATGTAGGTTGGGTTTCTGTACTTGCTGAAGTAATGAAATCCCCACACATCATTCAGTCTTCTCACGCATCCAGAGCTTTGGCTAATTTAGACAGGGACGTGGTGAAAGAAAAATATCCAGATGGTGTTTATGTCTTACATCCACAATATCGTAGCAGGTAAAGTAGAAGGAGTCATTGTACATGCTGTACTTGCTGTACTTGGAGTTACTTGTTCTGCTCTTCTGTTACAAAACTTTGGAAGAGTTAGCATCAGTGCTGCTGTACTGATGTTACCTTGCCCCTCCTGTTCTTTGGTGGATTGAAAGGACTGAATTTAGATTCTCAAGTAGAAGAACAGGTAGAAGTGGTTAAAGGAGTCCCTAGGTGTGGACAGAGTATTACTGTAATGCATGGAAAATCTGAACACAAAACATGAAATTAAGTACTGTTTTGTGTGGGTTGCAACTGTTGAACCTTTGCACTTCTTGGGATACAGTGCCTTGTAATTATTCTACTTGCAACAGCATGTGTTGGCCTAAGATGCAGTAAATTTTCATCCTCAGTAATAGTGATTGTGTGTCTGGGACTAAAGCAGTCTCCAGCTCTGTGGGTGTCAGTAGCAACTATTCCCTGGGTCATTGGTGTTACTTTGGTTACAGTGAAGATCTAACGTGGTGATAAGGCTGGAGCTACCATGCCACATGTACAGTAGCTGGTGAGAAAGGTGTTTTTAATTGTAGAAAATGATGATTTGTGAGGTGGGAACTTTCCATACCTCATTTTATATCTTTCTTCTGTGTGGTTCCCTAGTTTTTGTTTTTAAAAAAAAATGCTCTTTGAAATATCATGAAATGAAAAAAAAAAGCTAATTTGTCACATGTAATGTTAAAAAAAACATTTTGGCATCCCTT